GGAAAGAGTCCTCAGAAATACAAACTTCCTAAAAAGTTTTGTTGACAAAAGGTGGCTGGATAGCCAATAGATGTCTTAGTTAGTGTCCCACTACGGGAAAGGCTGTAGCATGAGCTCGTGTTGAACCCTGGAGAATTTCTGTGAAGAGGGCCTGTGAATGCCCCATCAACAAGATGAAGTTGTGATCCAGGCTCTCACCTTAGCAGGCCTAGGATAATCCGGCCACAAGACACGGGGGAACTAAGCTTCAAATTTCTGCTGCTCATGAAATTATTTGTCTTTGTGGTTGATTGATAATGATTCCCTGTAATCAAATGAGGCCTTAATGCAAGTGAGCAGAAGTTCACGCTTCTTCTTAAGCTTATTTTTTACTCTGAATTTATGATGCTTAAGGCTTAATGTACTGAAATATGTCTTGAAAATAATATTCTTTAAATTTTCACTGTAAGCGGAGTTTTTAGCGTTGATGGTTTTTGTTTGTTTGTTTGTTTTTAATTAAGTGGACACCATTGATATGTAGCTATTCATCCTCGAGTTGCCTGCTCTCCACCACTTAGAATAGGGAATCTCTATTGGTGGTAAAGAAAAGTTAAATGCTATCTATTAATTCATAATATTTTACTTTTACTAAATCAATATCCGTGGGTTTCAGGGCACTTCTCAAACACAACGAACAGAATTTTCCTTAAAAAATAGGCAATCCAAGACAAAATATCCATAGCTTTGCAGTCTTATATGCCATAATATTGACAATACCTTGTTAAATTCTGGATGTTGCAATTCAATGGCAAATTAACCTTAGTAGCACATAACGTAGAATCTTTTTCTTATCCATTAAAAACCTTGTAGGGCTATCATAAAAAATATAGAGTGAATTTTAATATATTGATTCAGCAATAAAGAAGTAGAAAAAACTTCAATTTAAAAACCTGCGGATTAAAATAAATAATTCAGTGTGCAAAATTTTATTGCTTTTGTAACTCATCAAACATCTATTCATCCTTCTCAGGATCCCTTAAGTGTACATGCTTTTTCCTAAGCTCTTTGCAAAGATGTATATTAACTGTGAGTTATTGTCAATTGTAGGGTTACAGGTACAGATCATTACTTTTTAAGTGATGGTCTTTATGTCCCTGCTGATCAGCTAGAAAACCAGAAGCCTTTAAATTTACACGTCATTCTCATCAATCCTACTGAAGCATCAAACAGCCAGGAAGAAAATGGCAAAGTAGTATCTGCTAAGAGACTGAAGCTAAATACAGATGACACAGCAAGCACCGCTTCTGCCTCTTCATCAGTGGTTCCTGGTGACCTTGATCACAGCACCCCAAGTCTGAAGAAAAAGAAAGTACAAAATGCAAGTGCCCCGAACAAGGCAGAAACATTGTCAGAGTGCTCAGCTTCAAGCGCTCTCAGAAACAGTGAATGCCCAATAAGGGAAGTTGTTAAAGATGTCTGCCAAGTACTGCAGAAAGGGGATGCATATGTTTTAGACATTGACTTAGATTTTTTTTCAGTTAAAAATCCATTCAAAGAAATGTACACACAGGTAAGCATGACAATGGAGAGGCCTCTTAACCATTCACGAAAGAGTAGCAGTCCTAGCATTTATGTCTATGGAGAAACTTTCATCTAAGCTAAATTAGCAGATCAGCTGATTATGATTAATGATTCAGGGTAATATTGGAAGGAGAGATATTCTAAGGGAGTGTATGCTCCAGAGAATTTCAACAACCTAGTAGGGGTAGAACCTTACATTTGAAATCAGTATTGAGTGCACATTCAAGAGGTGTATGGCTCACTTCTGCTTTTTGCTTGGGTCATAAAAGCTATGCTTGGGTTTCAAGAGGTAATGTTCCAAATACCCACAGCAAGATTTATCAGGAAGGGATGACAGATTATATCCTTTTTTATGATGTTGGAAAGCCACAATGCTATCAGGAGACTCTGCCTTTCAAAAAGGCATGGTGGTGTTGATTATCCAAAGAGTGGTAACCAAAGAGGCTGTTACTCTCATTTCCTTTGTCTGGACTGCTGAGTATAAGGATGAGTAAGCATCTTTTGTCTCTGATGCCATGGCTTTGAGCTTAAGACTCTGCCTCATATTCCAGTTATAACTTGGCTGCAAAGCAAAGGTAGCTCACCTGTATAGAGTCATAAATATGTAGATCCTCAAAGGTGCAAAGCAGTTAGCACCTTTTCTTGACATGAACAGGATTTTTAGGAACTGACTAATGTGCCCTGAAAATTGGGTGTGGCATTTAGGTTTACAAATTCTGCAATATCCTGACTCTAGCATTTAAATCTCTTTTTAACACTGTTTTAACTTCAGCCTGTGCTGGAGAACATCTGACATCTTTGAGTTTCAGCTAGACTACGGCTTCCTTGTTCACCATAAAGAAGTGAATATAATGTCCCTGACCTCTGTTAGCTTCTGACATTCAGTATTTATGATTACGGTATCTTCAGACAATGTGCAATGCCAGTTGTTCTGAATCACAGAGAAACGTACAGCAAAGGGAAAGCACTGTAGGGATCTTGCCATATAAGAATAAAATTCAATACCCCTCTTCGGGCTTGAAATACGTTCTGAATAAACTAACGGAGGAGTTTTTTAAGGGGTTGTTTTTTGTTGGGTTTTGGCGGCGGTGGTGGTGTGGGGGGTTGTTTTGTTTCTTGTGCTTTTTTTTTGGTTTTGTGCTATGATAGGTTCTCAGTTCTAGGAACCACTTTCAGAAGTGAACTTGCACAGAGCACCCAGTGTACCTTTTTTGATATAATGATTTCATTTGCAGTTAATATTTCTTAATTATGTTCCCTCTATTGTAAATTATGATAATTCCATCTGAAAATTTTTCCTAAGTTAACACTTGAAATGTAAGAATCCAAGGAAGAGCTAAAAAGCAAATATAATTCACCAATCCAGAAGAGTATTGTCTTCCCACCAAAAAAGTTTAAAATCCAAAACATTGCCCTGAAGATGCTTTGTGTGTCTGTAAAAATTGAATAGTCTACCCTTCCTTTCTCCCTCTGCTCTGAAAAATTCATGAGTGTTCACTTTTTTTAATGCTGTTAAGTAAATAATGAGATCTGTTTATCCTTGATTAATTAAACCTGAATATTATCAAGGAGTAGGGCTGACAAGCCCATGTAATAGTTTACTTGTGGACTTGTTGGCCAGCCAGCCTGAACCCTTTACCTGTCCTGTTTTCCTTTACAATCGTACTCTCCTGTTGGTTTTGTCTGCCTAAATCTACCATCTCAGTTTTACTCAGCATGTCATTGGGACCTTAGTTCAGCAACATGTATGTTTAATTTCAGAGACTCTTTAACTAACAGACTGTAAATACTTAGCTTTTAAAGCTGTGTTCTTGAAGTCAGGTTTAAAGTTAAGCAGTCCCAAAATGTTTGGCTGAGGCCATGAAGTATTGCTTTCTCAAGCCTCACAGCCTCTTCCTCACCTGCATTTATAGAGTTGTCTGCAGTGCTAGAGAAGAGGAATGATCTTGGCGATCAGATTCTTTTTTTGAAGAAGGAAGGCTTTGAGGAGTTTGTTTCTCATTTGAAGAGTCTAATTTTTTTGCCTCTATTTTCTTTTTCAAAGACAGAATATGAGCTTTTGCAAGAGTTATACAATTTCAAGAAACCTCATAGAAATGCAACAGAGGTATGGTATGTCCTTGTGGGATGTATGAGGGAATGATTCTTTTGATTTACCCAATAAAAATAAGTTACAACAAGGAAAGAACCTATGAAAGGTGCTTAATGAAGTGGTCTCCAATTAAGCTATGCAGCATGCTGAATGCTAATCAGCAGCATCTTAGGAATTCTTTTCCTATTAAATGTTTTGGTTAAACATGTGAATTGCATAAATATTTAGCGTAAGTGTGAAAATTAATTTCTGTAAACAAGTGGTATTTGACGAGGAAGAAATGAAAACATAGTAAGTCATCTGCAATCTTGTTCTTTTTATGGCTCAACAGGGTTCTGGTTTGGGTTTTTTTTGTTTTGCGTTGGTGTTTTTCCCCCCCCTCCCCCCCTCCAGAGTCTCCCCTTCCTTGCCCTAGTTGCTCTTCCTTGATAGCCAGATCTGTGCTGAATGCCTAACTGGTATTTTACCTATTTATTTAGATGTGGAAAGGATGGTATTATACCACTGTAATGTACTTTTCATTGTATGCATTGTGTGCTTCTGAATCATGGAAATGTAAGCCTGCTGTAGCTGCCAAAATAGTCATTCAGCCCTGAGACCAAACCACAGAGACAGCCATACTAATGGTCATTACACCAAGTAATTTCTAAACAAGATCTTGTCTTTGCTTTTGTAATCTCATCTGAACACTATTACAGAAAGATTCACTACATATAATTATCACAGATTAATGAATCCTAATTAATATGTGTATATAAAGAAATTGAGATATGTGGAAGATTGTCAAATTGATTTTCATATTTCTTAGTCAATCAGCAATAAAAACAGGTACCTATTTAAAAGGTAGTTAAATGTAAAAGGGGTAAACACTTGTGATTTAAGTGCCCAATACGATGTCAGGGCATAAGTTATTTACAAAAGCCAGCAAATTTATAGGAGGCAACTGAAATGGTTAGCAGACAGTAAGTAATGGATAGGTGTAGAACTGAACAAGGCGAGACTAGATTCATGGATGATTTTATAGCAAAACAGTCAATTTAAAGCCTTTGAAGGTAGAAAGCTAGTGAACTTCGTGTTTTTCGAAGTTTCAGAAAATATCCTAGATGTCTAGTTTCTTAAAATCTGTTTTCATAGTTCCAGAGTACGGTTAGGTGTACATTTCTATCATACTGCAAGATAATGTGGTGTGTGGGGTATTTTTGTTTGGTTTTGTTTTTTAAGAGGTATAGACGGGGATCGAACGTGTCTTTAAGGTTAGTTGCTGGTGCTGCTTAGAAAAGTATCTTATTCATACCCCAGGATAGGATCATGAAGCTGTACTTCATGAACGGTTGATACCCTCAGCTCCTCTTAAAAATTAGCCCAAAGTTGACATCACTGGCCAAAAGAAGCAGCATTTGTTATATGATACAGCCAGCAGAATCCTAAGAGGGAATTGTTATGTTCTTAATTGTTACCCATCTATTCCAATGCGCTTTTTAATAATTTTCCTTCACACACCACTGCATTTTTAATACCAAATATGCCAAGCATTGCTTTTCAGTTGACATGTTATGTAAGATCTCTTTCTGCAAATGTTTGCATGTACAACTGTATTCGTGTATGTAGCCTCACTCCAAGAAGATTGCCTCTTTATGTGTTCTGAACTTTTTAAGAAAGGGTATAAACCTTTGCAGGATCAGAGCAATAACCGACATTTTAAATTAATTCCATGTTTTTTCAGGCACACAGAGTTGAAACAGCCTCAAAGCATCAAATAGCCCGTTTTGTTTTGTTTTTCTGAAAATGCATTTGATTTAATAATTTTTTTTTTTTAAACTTAAAAAATTAAATTCTCCTTTCATCATAAGAATGTAAAGCTTGTACTCATCTGAGCATTTCAGTGCTATAGAAACAAATCCAACAATTAGTCATATACAGTTTCTTAGCTCTCCCCAGTGTATTCTGCCAGAATGTAGATGTGGCTTTTTTTTATTTGTTGTGGGAAAGACAGAGCAAAGAGAGGTGATTTATTCTGAAGGTATAACAGCTTCTGCAGGCATTCATTCTGATTCTCTTAAAAGGATGTTCTGTAGTAATGAATCGGTTGTTTCTGATTCCCCACTACCAGTAGATCAATCATTTCAGAATGTAAATCATAGGGTAAGCCATGACATTCTTACCTTTCGTTTTTCCTAACATACTTTTATATGTATTTATTTGAAGGAGGGCTTGCTGGATTGTGTAGAAAACCGTGTTCATCAGCTAGAAGATCTGGAAGCAGCATTTGCAGATTTGTGCGACAATGATGATGAAGAGACTCTACAGAAGTGGGCTTCATATCCTGGGTAAGAGATTTCTAAATGGCTTAAAATGCAAACAATAGTTTGAAAAATTATTAGCCCAGCACTTTGCTAACAGAAAAGGAGAGAGGCTGATAGGTTCTATGTAAGGCTACCATTTTTCCTTTAGTTCTAGAGGAGAAAGAGTCAGACAAAACAAAAGAAAAGGTAGTCTGCTATTTTCAGTGCCATGGCAAGCCTTCCAAGATCAGCCTTGTACAGCATCATGTAAATTCTGTTGTCTGTGGAGGGCGGCTTATTTAGTGACTAAAAATTTAGTGATCTGTGTGAAGCAGAGCTCTCAAAAAAGCAACAGGAGAATATGGAGAAGGACTTCTTTGGTGCTCCTGAAGGTTCTGCTTTCTGTGGAAAATGGAAGTGAATGAAAGGCTGTTCCTGAGCAACAGTATACACAGAACATCTCACCAGCATCCGCTATGCTTTTAAACTAAACGTTTTCAGCAGAAAAGAAGTAGCAAAAATCCGAGCTTTCCCTTGATAGGAAAATCACTCATTTTCCCCATCAAATGTAGCCTGCCAGACCTGTGTAACAGTGACCACAAGCATTTCCTATCAAGTTCATACGACTTTGAGCTACAACAGCTTGTCTCCACATCTGCCCTAAAAGAAGTGCAAAGAGGTCTTGCCAGAGGCAGGTATGAGTATAGGGGCTTTCTAAGAAAGACCAGTGAAACAGTACAATAGTACTGATAATTTCCATTTTTCTTAGGTTTAAGATGACACAGAGGGGCAAATTTCATTTTCAAATCCTAAGCCATGATAACTTCTACTTTCTTCTTTTTTCTCTCTCTCTCTTTTTTTTTTTTTTTTTTTTTTAAAACCACTTACGGTAAATATATGTGTTTCCAACTGTTTATGTAACAAGTTTTGGTTTTGTTTTAACTCCAGAATGAAGCCGCTTGTTCAACTAGTTCACAGTTTGAAAACCAGGATGGAAAGCCCAGACTACGAAATGGTAGGTGACTAGGTAAAAGAGCAGAAAGCAGACATTTAAAAAGCATAGCTTCAACAGGGAGGGAAAATATCATGCTTCATTTCAGACTTGCTTCTTGATTCAGGACTTTGTGAGATTTTGGTAGGTTTTTTCATGCCTTATTACTTAAGCCAGCTTTTCTTTTTAAAGCTTCTAAAATTCTACTCTGCTTGTCTATATTTAGGCAACATTAACATGATCTTTCAGGACTGTGACATCTCAGGCTGCTTCCTGTGAAGGAAGGTTTCATTTCACCAGGGTCTGTTGATATACTTTATAGAACTTAAGGTACCTATTTGTAAAAGATCAGATCTATCATCTTCAAGGGCTGCAGCACACTCTGAATTCATAGGAAAGGTACAGTGTACTGGAGATAACGAAACAATCCATACAACTCCAGAATTTTATTCTTTTTGTTTAAAGAACAAATTGGGGGAAAAAAACCCAACTTTTACTGCCTGAAGAGGTGTAAGTTACCTATTGGGCTAGGCATGGTATCTTAGAGACTTTTCACACAGATAAGCTATATCAATAATTCATCAACAGAAATTAAATCTCTGTTTAATTTACATGTAGGTCCATCAGGCTGGTCTGACCTGTGATTATATGGAGCTTCCTCACCATGTTAGCACTGAGGAGGAGATCGAAGGCCTCATACAATCCATTAAAGTTCTACTAAAAGATATGCCTAAGCCCACACTTGTGACAGTTGCTCGGTAAGATTATGTAGATATTTTTACTTTAAAACACTCAGACTGTGCTTACGAAGCTAAATGATTCTATCAGTATAGCACTGGTTGGCACATCTTAAGTTCTGTCTTAAAGTGGAAGCCTTACAGCGTAGTGAAAATTGACATTTGAAAATGTTAATCGTGAGGCAGTGACAGTATCTACACAGCTAAGGGAAGATTCTGCGCTGATGGCCAGTTTTACTGGGCTTTAGAGTAGCTAGCACAGACTTCAAAAGCAGTGAAAACATGACGACTTAATGAGCTTCAGCACAGGCTGTATAAAGCCTGTGATGAGGTCTTGCGTGTGTTGAGATTGATAGCTGTCACTGGGGTTCATACATCTCCACTACTTCTGTTCCTTGTGCTAGTTAGAGCAAAGCTAGGTTGGACAAGCCTGCGTGGGCTGAAATCACACCTTCCTTACTCCCTTGTTCTAGGGTTCATTGTACTACAGATAGGATTTCTGTTTTCAGTGAAACTTCTGATGGAAGTGGTTTTCATCTAATAGGCTGAAAGGGATTTATATTCTAGAAAGCTCTAGTAAAGCTTTGTATGGAGTAAAAGTTATGCTTTCAGGACTGTAAGGATAATATTTGGGAGAACAGGATGGAGTTTGAGGTTAGGGACCTGGGACAACCAGGGATCTGTCCTGGGAAAACTTAATTTGAAGACCACAGTGTATCTGTTGACAAATTGTTGTAATTTAATCACTTCAGAATTACCAGTGTGCCCTTAAAGGGCAGGCAACAATAGCAGAGGCTGACATGAAATTGTTTTTGTCAGCAAGAAATAGTATGGCTAATACCTACAATAAAAGAAAGCTGTATTTCCTGTGTCAGCTGCAGAGTTATCATCCACTGTTGCAGGGAAAATACAGAATCATATATGTAGATCTTGACAGATATAAAATCTGTCAGCTCTGCTTTTTTACTAGTATCTGTTTGCAGTTCATTAATAGATACTGTAAATAATGTTTAAATAATATATCCCAGGGATTGTGAAGGTTTGTTTTTCAAGTTTTCCTACCTATTTTACAAGTAGCATTTGAATTTTTCAATCTTAACTTTCCACCAGTCCTTTAATTAGTTCATTTGGTTGAACCTTGACTGCCAACATGTTCTGTGTAAGAGTCAGGAATTAGAGTAGAATTGGAAGGATGAATAGGTCACATTCCTAATCTGCTCCGGACTTTCTATTCAACTTCAGGCAAACTGTTACCGTTGAAAGTAGTGAGGAGAAGCACAGCACTATGCTTTCAAGGGATACTGCGAGGCAGAACTCACCACAGTTTGAAAGTAGCTTCAGTCTAGACACAGAGTATTACAAGAATACAAAATGTGGTGATGGTGGTGATATCTGTATTCTCTCATGCTTTTTTCAATTCTTTGTTACAGATCAAGTTTGGATGATTATTGCCCTTCAGAGCAGGTTGACATCATTCAAGAGAAGGTTCTCAATTTACTAGGCTCAGTGTATGGCACTCTGGATGTGCACTTAGATTACTCAAGCACCTCATCTTCTTTGTGACCTTTCTTCATGTATTGCCCACTAGTGCAGTGGATTAATTTAAATTGCATATTAGCTATGGTTGCAAGGGGAAAAATACTGTTATTTCAGCAGGTGGCACTAGAACCCAAGCTGATCAAGAGCTAGTTTTGAGTTGCATTGCTTTCTCCAAGTTGGCTGCATCTGAACTGTTACCTGTTTGGCTTTCTTCACATTAGTTCTGTGATTATTATTTTTACTGTCTTGCTTCTTAAAATTGGTGCAAGAGAAACCATTTTTTGTCCATAAAATGTATTTTTTCACCTGATTTCTTTAAGTGTCTGTAAAAAAAAAAAATTATATGTATAGCTTCTTAAAATAAGTTGATTTCTTCTATGTAATTAAACTTTTTTTGATGGAGTTTGGTGAGTAATAGACATGTTCCTGAGTTGCATTGTACCTTTTAAAAAATTTTCTCATGAATGCCATTAAGACATTGGGTTTACACAGTGATCTTTCTTAACTGCTGTGCTCGAGATGACCAGGCATCCCCCTATCATTTCTCTAGAGAGTCTTATGGCTTCTGCCTCATCCACAGAATATCATTATATTTATACTTCGTTGCATTAATATTGTCTTATTTTGTCTTCGAGGATTTCATTGGTGACTCAGACAGTATTCCTAATGTACAGACATTGGCTTGGTATTTCCATTTTTACGTATTTTTGAGGATAAAAAGTATGCATGCATGTGCATGCTTTTATCTGTTGAATCCTGTAAGGAGTTGAATTGGTATTTTCTTCAGAAACAAAGATTTAATTTCACTGAAGTCAGCAACAAAACCTTCTGTGCCAGGTTTTCACTCATTTCAGTATTGCTATTTGGAAAATAACAGTTTTAGAACCATTTAATTTAGAAAGCAATCTAGTTCTAGAGAAAACTGCCATTTCCAGAGGAACAAAAACCCACAGGATTTATTTGGGAATGAAACTGAAATGGGAAAGAGAAAATACCACCTAGAATATTGGTTTTTATTATGAATAAATTTTGCTTGTAATTTCTTCTGAAATACTTAAGTTCATTTGTTAACATTAGTATTCACTCTACAGAGACTTTGTGCACTTCTACAGTTTTTTACTACTTCTGCTGTTGATATGACTAATTATAGATTGTAAATACATAATTATTTAAAAATATTTCTTCCAGTACAATAAAATCCATGACCATTGACCCATTTTCTTTGTGCTTATGCATTCTGTCACAAAGACGTAGCTAACCTTGGATCCAAGATCCTTAATACTTCATAAATTATAAATAGGCATACATTGCGCACAGAAGCTGAGTGGAGTCAGATCACGTACTGCTTGTGGGAAGATTTTTGGTTTTTTTAAGGTAAGAGATGCTCTTTGCTGGGCTTTGAATAAGTTTGTAGAGAACACAAAAAAACATTGGATCAAAGGTGCCAGGGATACTCCTGCGCTGCGGAGAGTTACGTCACCCCAGAAAGAGAAGCGCGTAGGGTGCAATAGCACAATTCTGCCTGGCTAACTGATACTCGGCTTCCGTGTCCCAAAACAGAGCACCTGCAGCACGGCAGCTCGTACCGGGTGCCGGTGCC